GTCGCTGTTGCGTTTATGCGCGTGGGCCTCCACTCCTACCCATCGCCCCCGAGTGATTCCTTCTCCCTGGGAGGCTGAATGCTGAATGTCTACCGCCAACGCGTGCGCATCATGGTTTGGACGAAGACCAGGTGAAGTAGGTAAAGCTCGAGCACAGCGTATGTGCCGATGAGATCATCCAGTGAGTTAGTATTCTGTGCCATTCCAGCCTCGTCTCTGCAACGATAGTGTGTCCTTCGATAATTCTGGGTCCACAGACTACAGGTACCTCCCGGACTACAGGTACCCTCTGCTTGGACTACATGTACCCCTTTCTCAGACTACAGGTCCCCCCCCCCAGACTACGGTACCCCCCTCCAGACTAGACTACAGGTACCCCTCCTCACTACGTCTACGCGCGCGCAATCCCGCGCGCGTGGAACCACGTGTGCGTTGACGCGTGAGCACCCGTTCCACCCCGGACTGCAGGTACCCCCCCCTGGACTACAGGTACCCTTCCCCCGGACGATAGGTACCCTGCCCCAGACTACTGGTACCCCTCCCCCGGACTACAGGTATCCCCCCCCGGACTACATGTACCCCTGGACTACAGGTTTCCCCAGCGTCGGTGAGTTTAGTCCTCGAGGACTCCTGTGTCAGATTGGCCGCCGGAGCCTTCTACTGTTTTTACCAGGCCATGCGCTGAAGGTAAGCCGTGAGCGAAAAAAATACACCATTTGTGTCTTCATCGCAGTGGGAGGGCAGGTTGCTGGTGTGTACGACGACAGGGCAGAGTGTGTCCAGAATGAGACTTGTCTTACAAAGCGGCCGTACCGATGTTATTTGTTGCGACAGGTCCCACCTCTTTTTTGATCTGTCCAGGCAGGAAGAGGGTACTTAACAGGACGGGGGCCGTTTTGGGCCATCATCCGGCGAGTGCAACAGGGCCAAGAAGAGATCTTCACGTTCATGCTGAGTGAATGTCGTAGTTCTGTCTCTTTGGCTTTAGCATGCTGTCCCAGGAAGACGGGATACTGCGCATCTCAGGTTCGTAGGTCATCTATATTATTGTCGTCGATCTTTTTTGTTGACGGATGGGGGGACGATCGTCAATCTCCACCACAGCTTTATTCGGTTTGAAGCGTTGGTCATGAGTGTCCCGATGGGAATGAAACATTGAGCGTGTGTAGGATAGGTGCGACCAGGCGTGTTCTTCTGAGACGCGCATATGAAAGTACATTGTAACTTTGTACAGAACATATAAACATTGTCATGCTTTATGCTTCCATGGGTCTCGCTCCGAATTGGATAACTGATGTGGATCCGCACCTTATCTATTAGGGTTCGTGCATCGTGTATCAAATTTGCAGGGTGAACCTCTGGTGTGCCCCTAGACCTCGTTGTGTTTTCCCTTCCTTTGCAGTGGGCTTGGCAGGGTTGTGGGAGAAGCTGGATGGAGCACCCATGCAACGGTCGTGCCCAAGCGCATTCAGCCAGGCGTACGCTAACATGTACGACAATTATTCCACCTCGTCGTCTTGCGTCGTGGACTTCAGCTACCAGGCAGGCCGCTGCAACACCTCCAGACAAGCATGATGTGAATGGCCCAGTGAGAGCATTAGCCATACACGGACGACGCACGCGTATACACCTTGCGTGCACCCGCCGGGTCATCTAGGGATCAGTGCCGTCCTTTTTTTCTGGGGGTCCTGGAGTTCTCTCGAGAACCCCCTCGGGGCGTCTTGGTGTCCTTCTCCTCCTTCTACTCCTCTTCCTCCTGCTCCGCCTCCTTCTCCTCCCTCCTTCCTCCTCCTCCTCCTCCTCCTCCTCCTCAACCTCCCTTTGCTTGGCGTGACGGCCACCGCGACATGGCCGGAGGCCTCCTGCTACGAGGAGGAGGGTAAGGAGGAGGAGGAGGAGAAGGAGGAGGAGGAGGATGAAGAGGAGGAGGAGGGGGGGAGGAGGAGGAGGAGGAGGAGGAGGAGGAGGAGGAGGAGGAGGAGGAGGAAGATGATGATGCTGATGCTGATGCTGATGCTGCTGATGATGAGGAGGAGGCGGAGGAGGAGGAAGGAGGAGGGATGAGGAGGAGGAGGAGGAGGAGGAGGAGGAGGAAGAGGAGGGGAGGAGGAGAGAGGACGGAGGCGAAAGGACATGCATTCTCTAACCAGTTTGCCGTTAAGTGTCCTAGGTGCACATGTGCATATCTGTGTTTGTAAACCAGATCAACTAGACATGGGACCGTGACCCAGGCCGACTTAACACATTTCAGAAGGCGCCCGAAACGTGCCCTAACCGGTGTCCAAGGTGGCCAAAGAAGACCTCACGATGCTGCAAGAGGGTGTCCTAGAGGGCCTCAGGGCAGCCCAACATTGCCCCCCCCCCCCCCCCCCCCCCCCCCCCAGACCGCCCCATACTAGCCACACGGGACCCCCAAGGCTGCCCAGATAGGCTCAAAAAGGCCCCACGACGGCCCGACAACCCCCAAGAAGGCTTCATTACGGTTTGAAGAGACTCCCAGGAGGGCCCACTCGCAACCCTAGCTTAGTACGACAACGGTCAGAACATCATTACATTTATATACACATACCGAAGACGCCTGCGGCGAACCACCGCCACCCCCTGCCTTTTTGGAAACGCCTGTGTGGCCAAACGTTGGGCAGAAGTCTTGCCAATCTAGTGGGATACGTGGTCCCCCAGCCGTGGTGGAAACCCTTGGGGGAACACTTGTGGAAGGCCGAGGAGGTGTGAGGAGAGGAAGGACGAACGAGTGGAGAAGGATCCAGAGGATGATGATGATGCTGCTGCTGATGATGCTGATGATGCTGCTTCTGATGATGATGATGCTAGTAATGATGATAATGATGATGCTGATGATGATACTGATGATGATGCTGATGATGCTGATGCTGCTGATGATGATGCTGCTGATGCTGCTGATGATGATGATGATGATGAGGATGATGATGATGATGATGATGATGATGATGATGAGGAGGAGGAGGAGGAGGAGGAGGAGGAGGAAGAACTGGAGGCCTCTTGCGGGCTTCCTGGGGCATCGTAGGGGTTCTTGGGGCCTCTTGGGGGCCTCTGTGGGGCTTTGGGGCTGTCAAGGGCCTGTTGGCCTTCGGATGCTGCCCAGGGGGCCCCTCTGGGACGTCGGGGGGCCCTCTTTTGGCGCTTTAGAGTCGTTTTGGAGTTCTTCGGGGCAGTATTGGGAGCCTCCTGGGCTGTCTTGTGGCCTCTTGGCGTCTTGGGACCTCTCGGCCCGTCTTGAGGCACTTTTGGGAGCTTCTGGGGCCGTCTGGGGGGCTATCTAGGAGGCCTGTGGGGCCGTAATCATCAAATGACGGAAGCCAGAAAAGCAGAACATGCGACGATTTTTGAAGACCACAAAAGAACCAATCATTTTGGCCTGTTGGAGGGGGCACGCGGCGTATCGCAAAGAATCCAAACCTTCAGCTCCCCAAGAGGATTCTGTGCGTTGCTGGCTGTGCTTGGTATGAACGCTCAGTTTGAGCTTGCCGTGGATGACGATCCGCGGAAGGATGGGGATCTTTTTTTGCCGTGTATCTCAGGGAACGTCGGCGCTGCGGCGCCGCTCACCCTACTCGGTGTCTGGTCGGGATTCTGGTGCTGTGGTTGATCTGCCGGGAAGCTGGCTGCAGGTGATCTGCACGCGACCTGCAAGCCGTGCTGGTCCGTACCAAGGGTTGGACACATGTGTGGCAGCACGTCTTCCCAGCGCTCGGCTTTCACATCGCCAGGCGCTCCAGCTCTTCGCGTGCGCATCCTGCAAGTGGCCTCCCTGTGCTCCGCACGTGGGCGCTGGCGAATGTTCTCGTGGATTTCCATCGTGTTGGTGATGCTGTGGGCGGAGTTTCGAGGGCGCGCGCCGATTTCGGTAGATTTGGGGCCATGGAGGCAACCGACACCCTCGCCTTCCCCGCCTTGACAGTTCTGAGTGCCGCAGACGACGAACATATGTTCCCGCGCGCGTGTGAATCCTGCCACGTGTTTGTTTCCAGCGTCCTGGCTCCCCCGCTCCCTCTCCCCATCCATCCCTCGACCTCTCCCGTCCCTGCCCCAGCAGCTGCCCCTGCCCTTGCCCTTCCCCCGCTCCGGCCTGCCATTCCCCGCTTTTCCGTTGCTACTTTCCATTTCCCCCCTTCTTGCTGCTGCTCCTCCTCGTCGCCATTGTCGTCGCCATGGTCGTCTTCGTCGTCGTCGTCGTCGTCGTCGTCGTCGTCGTCGTCGTCGTCGTCGTCGTTGTCGTTGTCGTTGTCGTTGTCGTCGTGTTCTTCCTTCTCCTGCTGCTCCCTTGCATCCCTTCCTCCGGCAGGCGCGAGTGCCGAGGCTCCCTCTGCCCAATCGCCCTCCAACGCTTTGCACGCGTGCTTCCGTAGCCACTGTGGCTCAAGGCGTCCCCGGCCCAGTCCGCTTGGGCTCATCCTGCCGCCTCGAGTGTGGCCCCATCGACGCAGCATAACGCCGTCTCGAGTGATCGTGGTGGCCCTGCGGCAGCTCTCTCGCCGCGGGCCACCGCGCCGGCCATGGCGGGGGCTCCGCGCGCGCCGGCGCGGGACGGCGCGGGACGGCAGACGTGGAGGAGGCCGGTCCGGGGAGCTGTGGCGGGAGATTTGGATTGCAAAAAAACCCTGGATTGCAAAAAAACCCTGGATTGCAAAAAAACCCTTTTTTGCAATCCAGGGTTTTTGCAATCCTTTTTTTGCAATCCTGGTTTTTTTTGCAATCCTGGGTTTTTTTGCAATCCAACGCTCCGCGGCGCGCTCGCGGCCTGCGCGAGTTGCTCCTGGTGGCCCAGGGCGCTGCACGCCTGCCGCCGCGTCGCGGGGCGCCCGGGGCCCAGGGGCGCCGCGCTCTGCCCGCGCCGCGGCGGGCCCGGGTCCAGTGGCAACGGCACGCGCGCGCTGAAGCTCAGGAGGGAAAAAAACACACAGACACAATTAATCCTCGATTCCCAGGAAAATATGGGAAAATATGGGAATTGGGGGGGAAGACAAAAACCCAGAAAATATGAGAAAATATGGGGACTATTTTTATTTGTGTGTATTTATTTGTGTGTCCTAATTTCCCTTTAGAAGCGTGCCGTCAGGCAGCTGGAGGACGGGCCGGTTGGTGTGCTCTGGAGGCGGTGATCAGATGCACGTCCGCGTTTTTACCTGCCAAAGTCCAGCGGCGATGCCGACGGCCGCTTCGGCGCACGGGTCGGCATCAGCGTTCATGGCGACGCCACCGTGCGGGAAGAGCAGTCGAGCCTGTGGTTGCCGGGCAGAGAAGTCAATCGCGCCATGGTGACGTGGCCTCGAGGTCAAAACGCAACACGCTTCCAGCGAGCCATGACCTACGAGGATGTGTCTGAGCCGCTAAATCCAGCGCTGCACTTGTTCGACGGGTGTTGCATGCCCTACTTTATTCGAACCCCTGTGCACGCTGTGAAGATCGACGCCGCCGCAGTGGGCATAGTGATTACCATGCACCCTGCAATCTGGAAGGTTGCATCGACTACGATTTCACATCTGATGGGCAAGCCCCCGTTCTCGCGCCACTGCGGCCCTCATGAGGCAGCTGGGCCTTGGCTGACGGGCTGGAGTAGGAGCACAGCCTTTCACGACGGCGGCTGCCGTAAAATGACTTCCGCGAATCTCCAGGGTTTGGATTCCAGAGCTACCGCGCTAGATCCAGTCAGCGCCGAGGCGTCAATGGACGAGCTCATGCAGTTCGCGTTCGAACGATTCGCCGCGGGTGTACACGAGCATGGCGTGTAGAACAGCGCCAGCATGAATAGGAATGTGAATGCTGCGCGGGGGTTCTCAAGGAATTTCGCGAGATTTCCACACGACTACGGGCCTTGCCCGTTGCCCACGCAGAGCTACCTCTTTTCCGCGACCGATGACTCTGGATAACCGATCGAATGGGACGTCATTGCCAAGGTCAAGGACTTCGATACGCAATGGATTTTTCTTGGGGCGGTCGTCGGATCAAACTTTTCACAGCCGAAAGAGAGCAAACACCAGCGGCAGCGTGGGGCTGACTCGGAGAGTTGTGGATGTCTTGCGGCAGGACCTTGAGGTAGTGTGCCGGGTATGTCAAGTGTATCTTCCGGACTACGTGTGTATGGGATACACTGTTCCTGAGCATTGTTGCGCTCGCAAGTGTGCGGAGGTGCCCATCAATATTCCAGACGATTTGCTGACGGCTGCGTGCTGATGTGGCGTTCTTGTGGTATAGGGCGAGCCATGCTTCAGACACCTATTCTGGAGGAGCTCACCGCGCTGCTCCGAATCTTTTTTCTGGCCATCACCATCTGCAGGTTCTATGACAAGTAGCTTGCTCTTTTCTGGCTTGACATTCTTCACCAACCGCTGTGCGCGTTCGGTTTCTCATCCTGCTTTCCATGAGCTGCCCCTGCGAGACTCGAACTTCCTGTGTTCCAGCTGGCCCCGCTCTCGCCGGAGCCCTCTCGTCGGACCCCGCTGCGTAGCGCCCCATCGCTGCCGTCTGACACGGTACAGGACGGGTCGACTGTTAAGTGGGGCGTGTCCCTCTACAGGAGGAATCTCGAAACATAGTCCGAAGATAGTCAGGGGACGATCTGTTTTATCATTTTGGGCTATGTTTGCGCACTTTTGGAGTATTTTGTATTTACAATCAAAAATCCGCCTGTAGGGGTTCATGCCCGACCTAAGTCGACTGCATCCCCTGCTTTCATAGATCACGCCTGGCGGGACCGACGGGGCGCGGCCGCGCAGCGCCTCCACCGCGCGTTGGGGGGCTGGGGCGCCCCGCGGAGGGGCCGATGGTGCAATGCGGGAGGGAGACATGGCTGCACACATTGGAAGGGACCTCTCAAGCTTTCGTCAGGGCTGCGCAGTGTCCATAAGAGCAAGAAAGCAGCTGAGCACAGGAGGGCGTGCAGGCAGCTACGGAGCTCGAACATGCAGAAGCAAGGTGCGGACGACGCTGCACAGCCCTAGGAGAGCAGAGCATTGACAGCGCGAGCACCAAACTGCGGGACGGAGACATGGCTGCTTGCGGGAGATCGGCCCGGCGCCCCCGCTGCGCTCGCCTCCCCCCCCAAAAAAGTGTTGCACGCTTGCTGCCCTCGCCTATGCCTATACTTTGCTGGCCCAAAAACGCGGGCTGCCACCGAAGGCTGAACTGCCTCCGTCCTGCGCGGCCCTCTCCGTCATCCTTCCGCCTCCACCCCTCGAAGAAGAAAACAACGCATAAGCATACATTGTTCATTGCAAATTCTCCGAAGGTTCTTTGATTTTTTGAGGGGGTCAAGATCCTTTCATTTCTAATCGTTCTATCCTGGGCCTCTTCCTGGCCACTAGGGGGCCAGGAACAATCAGCAACGAGCACAATTAGAAATGAGCACGATAAAACAAAAAACGACGTGTAAGCTTTGGCGCTTCGCGCGGATTTCTTGGATCCGCGCTGGACCCCCTCGGCGGCGCTTCCGGCGCCGCCCCTGGCGCGCTCCGCGCGCCAGGGAAGGGGGTCCAGCGCAGACCCAAGAAACCCGCGCGAACCGTCGAACATTTATGTTCATGTAGTTTTTTCTTCCTCCACTCCCCCCCCCTCCGCTCTCCTCTCTGGCCGCTGTCCTGCCCCAAGGCCCCCGCTTTGATGAGTTTTTTTTCGCAGCGTCGACTCCAAGAGGGGACGACCCTTTCCATGGACCAGCTTTTCATCCTCAGTCGTTCTTTGGCAGTCCTGGGGCCCAGCGAGGGCCCCCCAAAAGTTCAAAAATTATATGAGATTGTCCGTCGTGTTTTTTCACGATGCGAGGGGGTTTGGATCGAGAAGCCTTGCATGTCCTCGCAATGTCCTTTTTAGAGTGCATTCGCGTGCGCTAGCGTCTGGTAGTCGATGAGGAAACGTCGATTTAGCATCGGCTTAGCGTCGATTAGCGTCGATTCAGCGTCGATTTAGCTTCGGTCAGCGTCGATTGGCGTCGGTTCGCGTCGACCAGCGTCGATTAGCGTCGGATTGCGTCGATTCGCAAGCGCCAGCAAGGTGGCATGGGAGGCCCTCGTGAGTTGCCTGCGAAGTCTGGGTCCTGCGCTCCTGCCCCCCCCCGCGACTCACCCAGCGACCCACCCCGCGACCCACCCCGCGACCCACCCCGCGACCCACCCCGCGCCCGCCCCCTCACTCTTGCCCGCAACCGCGGGGTGCCTCGCAGCATAGAACTATTCGCTGCGATTTCTCCCACGACGCGAGGGGGGCCGGGCCCTGCGCTGCCCCCCCCCCGTTGCCCCTGCATTGCTCAGGAGGGGACAAAAAAACACACGGACACAATTCATCGTCGATTCCTCAGAAATTATTGGGGAAATGGGAAGTGTGGGGGGGGAAACAAAAACCTAGAAAATATGGGAATCTATGGGGAATCCGATTATTTGTGTCTATTTATTTGTATGCCCCAGGGCCCCTTCAATTGTTTTTGTATGTATCACATGCACAGACGCCGTGGAGGCCTCATCGGAGGTCAGATTGCCGCTGCCGCCGCCGCGCGGCACAGGCAGCTGGCCCGACGCAGGCCCGCCCTCCCTTCCCTCCTGCGCGAGACGGATGGCCGGCACTCGCCTTGCTTCGTCTCGTGCTCTTGGCCGCCCGCCTCGTTGCGTTGCACCTTCAGGGGGGCCTCGCCCGTCCCCAGAATTGGTGCCATTTCTCGTGCCCGACGCGGGCCCGATGCGGACTCGACGCGGATCTGGCGCGGATTCGGCGCGGATCCGACACGGATTCGGCACGGATCCGACGAGTCCGACATGGATTCGACACGGATGCGACGCGGATAGGGCCGCGACGGGACAGACAAGGTCACCCGAGGATGCAACATAAGCCTCGTCTCTCGTTTTTCTGGTGTCGCTGCACTTCCCCCCCCCCCCGCTGCCCCAGCCCTCCTCGCGGCCAGGGCGCGGGCTACCAGGGCCTGCTCGGGCGAGGGTCGTGGTCGGAGGCCGCGCCCCCCCCCCCCCCGCCAGCTGGCCGCGCGGGCGCGGGGAGCGGCCCCGGCCACGGCGGCAGCAAGAGAGGGACGGCGGCGCTGCCGGGGCCGGCCGATGGAGCGCTCCCTTGCTCCTGGGCGATCGCGACAGCGAGCCTTCGCGAGCCTCCTCTTCCTCCCTGCTCCTCCCTCCTCCTCCTCCTCCTCCTCCTCCTCCTCCTCCTCCTCCTCCTTCCTCCTCCTCCCTCCTCCACCTTCTTCCTCCTCCTCCTCCTCCTCCTCCTCCTCCTCCTCCTACCCCTCCTCCTCCCTCGTAAGGCTCGCTCTTGCCCATGAACAAGGGTTCGGCCAATCGATGCGATTTCGACGACGACGACGCCGACGCCGCCGACGATTCCGGCGGCGATCTCGACGACGGTGACGACGGCGACGACGACGACTGAGGGGTGGGGGGGAGATAACGTCATGTTTCGCGCCAGCGTCGTTTGGGAATGCCCAGGAGCGTCCAAAGACAGCTCGGACGTCAGCACGAATCTTGTCGTTACCTGGGGTTGGCGGGCCGGGGTCGGTAGCGGCCGCCATCGCGAAAAAGATAGAACGCTTTCCAAGAGGGGATGATGACTGGGGGGGGATCTCATGGCCAGGGCCATGATACCTCCCGCGGATCTCATGGCCCCTCTTCTCCTCTCAATGCAGCCGAGGTGCTGGAAGAATGGCCGCTCAGGGTTCGCAGGGGGCTCGCTGTTCCGAAGGTCCTTCCGTGGTTGTTCCTCTAGCCCTCCTCGTGCACCCAGGCTCCGCCGGAGCAGAAAGAGGGGCTCTGTTCCTTACTTCGCGTTTCTTCTGTCGGCAGCCGCACTGCACGTCAACTGACCCCTACTCGTCCGCGCGCCTGCCTCGGGCCATGATCTGCGAGAACCCCCCTCTTGGGCGCCCCCTCTCGGATGCCCCCGGCATCGGTGAAGGGGGGGGCTGGCTGCGGCGGTGGCGACTGGTCGGCGGCGCGCCGAGGCGGGGAAGCTCTTGGGCGTTTTCGTTGGCTCTCGTCGGATTTCGAGCCTCGTGAGGCGTTCCTGCGGGTGTCTCTCGCCGAGAGGCGTCTGGAGAGCCGAGTTATGACCCAGGAGCCACTAGGCGTCGAGAGGTGCCAGGCCTTCTCAGAAGGCGGCGGGGCTTCTCAGAAGTCCCCCGGCCCTCTACGAAGGCCTCTGTGGCTTCGGAGAGGGCCCAACAAGCTTCTCAGAGGGCCTTCTGAGAGGGCCCGCCCCCTCTGCCTGTTCGCCTTGGGCGCCGCCGACTTGTGTGAGGTCGCTGTCGAAGTGCCAAGCTGTGTCCAGTTAAGCGGGGAGCACTTGTGAAGGGAAGCGGTTCTGATGGGAGCAGCTGTCGACGCTTCGCGTGTCCCCACCAGCCAATCAGGACAGGATATCACAGGCGAGCTGCCGCCTCCTCTTTGGAGGCCTCCTGGAGCCTCTGGGCCGTTTTCGGGACCCGGACAGGGCTCATGGCTGCAGTTTGGGACCTGTTGGGTAATCCTAGATGTCATCGGCCAAAGACGAGGATGACTTCAATGAGAGTCCCTCCGCCGGACCCAGAGTCGTCGCTTCTTGGGGCGCTCTTGGATTCCTCTTGGGGGCCTTTCTGGGCCCCTCTTGGGGCCTTTTTGGCCAGGGCAGGCATCTGGTGCCCTCCTGCTGCTGCTCATTCACTTCACCCCGCATCCTCTGGTTGATGATTCTTGATAATCACCTCCCAATGCTCATCGCTTCCATCTGCTCTCAAGTCATCTTTTCGCCCCAGGTGCCCATCATGATACCTTTCCCTCTCAAATATGGGACTCCATCTACACTAGGTCTCGCATTCCCTTGCTCAGATCTCCTGCCCTGGGAGGTCCTGCATACACCTCTTCAGATGCATCTGCACATCTTCAGCTCAGGTGTCACATGGGCGTCAGAACAGCCTTGCTCCTTTTTGTTTCACGCCTTGGCCTTTACGGGGGCCTCGGTCTGGGAGGCTGGTGGGAGACTGACGGGGAGAAGCCCAACCAGCGAGAGGTCTTGCATCAGGAGGGATAGAAAGACACAGGCACTCATAAACATCGATGCCAGATACACTATAGGAAAACACGGCACTTGGAGAGGCAGACGAACATCCTGAACATATTGAACAAAATCATGGGGGGTCCTGGGCTTGAGTTCTACTTCTGTGTGTCTCCCTGGGCCCTTTTGCTGGAGCCTCTGTGAGAGGCCTCGGAGCTTCTGGGAGGGGCCTTCGACCCTGCGGGAGGGGGCTCAGAGCTGCGGGGCCTTGGGAGCAAGTGGGCGACGCCCAAGAAAGGTCCGGGGGCCTGTGGGACACTCCTCACAGAATTTCGGCGAGGCCACAGAGCCTCGGGGAGAGGCCTCACTTGGAGAAGCCTCGGGGCCCATGTGATGTGCCTCCCATGGAGACGCCTCCCAGCGCTGGGGAGAGGCCAGAAGAGGCATCGCGGGTTTCCTCGGAGCCCGCTTCAGGGCCTTTTGGAGGAGTCCTCAGAGCCTCTGAAGAGCCGCGTCCGAGCTTCTGCGAGGTGGGCCTTTAGCCCTCGGGAGGCCTCGGGGCCTCGTGGGAGGCCCCAGAGTTTCCTGGAGATGCCTCAGGGCCTCCGGGAGAGTCCCTCAGCCCCTAGGGAGGAGGTCTCAGGGCTCTCTTGCGGGAAGCCTCGCGGCCTCTGGGAGGCCCCGGAGCCTGTAGGGAGGTCCTGATGATGTTGAGTAAAACGATGATGACGGTGATGATGATGATGATGATGATGATGATGATGATGATGATGATGATGATGATGATGATGATGCTGCTGATGATGATGATGATGATGCTGATGGTGATGATGATGATGATGATGATGATGATGCTGATGATGATGATGATGATGATGATGATGCTGATGGTGATGATGATGATAATGATGATGCTGATGATGATGATGATGATGATGATGATGCTGATGGTGTTGATGATGATGTTGATGATGCTGCTGCTGCTGCTACTGTTGCTGATGATGATGAATTGTGCTGTTGAGGTTGTTTGTTTTGGTGGTTGTTGATGCTTTCATTGTTGTTGATGATGCTGCAGATG